GAAGACTGAAACTTTGGGGATATGTGCCTATACCATGCGCGACCCTCCCGTTTTAATTTCATCCCCTGTGGACGCCTCGGTTTCGCGTACTGACGCTTTAAAAAAACATGCAAATTTTTTCGCGGGAAGGCGATCTCGGGAACTACGTGAGATAAGGGGCTGAAACTTTGTAGGGATATTCTCTGTGCATGTACAGCTAAAGATTTCAAATTCAGCTTCTAGGTATGCGTGGTACTCACGTAAGGGCGTTTGAAAGTTTTACGGGGAAAATTGCTAACTTGGGTACCAGGAAAGGTAAAAAGCTGAAATTTTGGAGGAATGTTCCCTATCGAAGTACAATTCAAATATTTCAAATTCAGCCCCCTACTATGCGTGGTAATCACGTAAGGGCGTATGAAAGTTTCTGTAGGGAAATTGCTAACTCGGCAACCAGAAGAGCTGGAAGGCCTTCCTGGTACCCGAGTTAGCAATTTTCCCCGTAAAACTTCCAAACGCCCTTGCGTGAGTACCACGCATGAGTGCCACAAAATTTTAGGGTGATGCTCCCCGTCCACGTGCAATTTAAAAATTTCAAATTCAGCTTTCCAGGTACGTAGGGTATCCACGCACAGGCATGTAAAATTTTTGGCAGAAAAATTGCTAACTCGGTATCCAGAAAAGCTGAAAGGCTAAAATTTTGGGAGTATATTCCCTGTCCAAGTACAACTCAAATATTTCAAATTCAGCCCCAGGCTATGTGTGGTATTTATGTAAGGACTTGTGAAAGTTCCTGCGGGAAAATTACTAACTCAGCAACTACAAAAGCTGGAAGGCTAAAACTTTAGGGGGGATGTTCCCTGCCCAAGTAAGTATTTCAAATCCAGCCTTCAGTTACGCGTGGTTCTTACGTACGGGCACTTAAAAGTATTGAACTAGGTTACTTTTAAAGAACGATCATTAAATGGAAGTTGTACATCTACTTTGTGCAAAATTTATAGTGATTTATGCAAGGTCGCAAAAGGTAGGTGTAAAGCAACAACCATTCATGCAGTTAATGACCTGAGTACTTCAAGTCCGGTGCAAAAACGCATGATCGCACGGGCCCCCCCTGATGCGTTCCAGCCTGGGTTATGTGTGAATTTTAAAAAGGTTAAAACACTTATAATACTGGCTTGCTATTCTAGACGGCAGGAAGCCTCACTGCGGTCCAGATATGAAACGAAAATGAGAGGCTACTAGTAAGCTGACCACTAGGGGATGCAACATTGAACAAAGCAACTGGAAAAATTGTTTGCTGCGTTGCTGGCGAATTAAGCTATGGATAAATAGGTGTTTCAAGTAAAACGAGGTAAATATGTACTAGTGCAACGTTTACAGTTCGGAATCAATGCGACTACTTTAAAACATTAGCAAATCATATCAAGCACAAATGAAGGTTGTTAAGAGATGCCATTTAAGCTTGGCATCAGCTCAAGTTATTATAAAATGCTTTCAATTTCAGCTTTCATTGTTGTTATCAAACCGCATTTTATCAGTCTGCAAATGCAAAACAAATACCACTTATTATGCGTTTTTGCCTATATGCAAATTGCAAAAACGCATATTGAGACGACCCCGTCTGTGCGTGTGTGTGTATGTATGTGTATGTGTGTGTGTGTGTGTATGTTTGTGTGTGTGTATGTTTGTGTGTGTGTGTGTGTGTGTGTGTATGTTTGTGTGTGTGTGTATGTGTTCGTCTGTCCGGGTATTCCAACTCTGCAACCAAACAAGTTCCAGCGCTGAGATTTTGCTAATGGGTGCCCCGGCCAAGTACCACCCCAGAACCGCGATACCACCCCTCACGCACGTCTGGGCCCCGCGTACGAGAGGGGCAAAGTTTTGACGGGAAAATTGATAACTCGGGAACGCGAAAAGATAGGAAGCTGAAATTTTGAGGTTATGTTCCCAGTCCAAATACAACTCAAAGGTTTCAAATTCAGCCTCCAGGTACGCGTGGTTCCCGCGTACGGCCTCGTGAGATTTTTCGGCGGGGAAATGGGTAACTTGGGAGTCAGCAAAGCTGGGAAGCTGAAATTTTCAGGGAATGTTCGTAGCCTATGTAGGACTTGAGTTAATCAAATTCATCCCCCAGGCATGCGCGGTCCTCACGTACGGTCCCGAGAGATTTTTCGGCGGGAAAATAGCTGACTCGGGAATCAGTAAAGATAGGAAGCTGAAATTTTCAGGGAATGTTCCCAGTCCACTTACGACTTAAAGTTATCGAATTCAGCCACCAGGCGTGCGTGGTTCTCGTGCACGGGCACTTAAATTTTTGGCGGGAAATTACTAATTGAACGGCTGGGTCATTTTCAAAAAACGACCGCTAAACAGATATTGTTTATTTTTTTTATGCAAAATTTACGATGAGTTACGGTACTGAGAGCACAAAGTAGGTTAAAGAAACAACAACTCATGCAGTTAACCTAATTATTTCAAGTCTGGTGCAAAAACGCATGATCGCACCGGCTCGCCTGGTGTGTTCCAGCCTAAGTTTTTTAGTGTGAGTTCAGCAGAGCATCTGAGAGTGCATTTTTATGATTGCC